AGGGAGCCCGATGCGGGACTCGATCCCAGGACGCTGGGATCATGACCTGAGCCGAAGGCAGACGCTTAACCATCTGAGCCACCCAGGCGCCCTCAGGTCATGATCTTAAGGTCGTGGGATCAAGCTCCCAGTTGGGCTCCCAGCTCAGCACAGAATCTGCTTGAGATTCTCTTTCCCTCTGCCCCTCCCCCTGCTTGCCCGCACGCATGCACTCTCTCTCAAATAAAATAAAATAGTAATGAGGTTGAAGATACTGGAGTGCTAGGACAAGACCAAAAGTATTCACTCTCAGAATCTTTGGTTTTGTGTCGTCCCGCCCCCCCCGCCCCGAGGATATTTCACAATGTTTGAAGGCGTTCTGGTCTCTCCACCCAGCTGGAGGGAGGGTACCACGGGCATCTTGTGTAGAGCCAGAGAAGCCACGGAATGTCCTTTGAGTGTAACAAATAGTTCTCTAGGCCAGAATGTCGGTAGTGCTAAAGTTGAGAAATTAAAAGTGAAGTTGTATAAATTTTTCTGTTCTGTAAGATAGAATTCATTCCATCCTGATGGCAAGGGCATCTGATGAACTTGAAAGGATTATATGTCAGTGGTTCTCTAAACACTGCTCTGTGCTTGCCACAGTGGTGAAAATTAAGAGTTTGGATCGCAAAAAGAGAAAGTCACCTTTTTTGGCTTGATTTTCCTGGCTTGATAATTTTACAAATGAAGATGTGGTTTTCACCACTAAAGTGAAAACAGACATTAGCTCCTCTTGAGCATCTACTAGATGTCAGTTTTGATTTGCTTGCACGTGGATAAAGTCATGAGCTTGAGAATAATTTTAGTTCCAGTCCTACTGGAGACTTTATTTCATTCTATCTCTTTTTAATGTCAGTCTGTTGATAAAGTTTGACCTTCCACTGAACTAAAAATAGACCAAAATCAAAATGGATAAGGAATGAGTAATTCCTCTTGGTCCTTTCTCATCCTATATTCTAAGAGAGGAAGGTTTGGTTAATTGACTGGGGAGAGAGTGAAAGAGACTGTGTAAAACTTAAGGATGGTTGTGAATGCAGTGTCATTTTATGTAGAAAATGCTAACTTTAAAAGCAAAAGATAATTTCCTACTTCCTTCAAGATTTGAGGTCACTTGATAAATTGACATTTTCACTACAGTAAGTTGATGTAGTTTGTGATTCCTGGCCATAAGTAATGGTACACAATTCATTTTTTTTTTTTTT